GGGATCTAGCGATGTCCTCGCCCAAACTGATTCTTCAGTCAGCTTTGGGTGCAGGTGCCGGCATCTTCAGTAAGGGAAACTGGAAGTGAAGCCTTGTGGCTCTACAGCCGGTTTCCTACCAGCGCGCTGCGCTTGGTGAATGATCCTACAGTCTTCTGGGACCTATGAAGTGTCTTTGGGGGGGGGTGTATGGGCTCGAATCTCTGGCTCAGATCGCCAAAGCTGATCTTACCGGAAATAGGAAGCGGGTACCTGTCAAAACCAGGTACCCGTTCCCCCCCCCCCCCCCTCTCCCCTACAAAAAGTGTGTGTGTGTGTGTAAGGGGGGGGGGGGGGGGGGGGGGAGAGACAATCAAGCGAAACTTCCCCTTTTGGGTGAAGTTCCACTTTAAAAAAGTCAATTTCCTGCACCTGCTTAGTAAATTAAGTTTATCCGAATTCGATATTTATCTGTCTATTGAGAATACGACAAAATAATTTGCATCCTTTACTGTCATAAATAGGCTCATTGTCATCTGTGACTTGTATGTAGATATCCCGGGCTGAAGTTTTCCTTTGAATAAGGCCACACTTTCCCCGTGGTGTGGTCTGCAGTGGTATTTTATGGATGTGATGAACGTATCCATGTGTCATCTGTCTTCCCCTTCTGACATCTCATTTTTGAAGTTTGCAGTCATGTGTGAAATAGACTTGCTGTGACACAGCAGTGACCAGAGCTAGTGGCTTCAGGGCCTTCTGGCTCTGGATTTCAGGTAGTTGTACACGAAGGGTCCTGTCTGAGGTTTGGCGTTTTTGTTCAAGGCAAAAGTACGGGCAAACAGCTTTCGGTCCTCCATGAGACAGACGGGAGCGTCACACTGTCATGGTGCAGCACAGCAAGATTGCTGCCACAGGCCGCGTTTTGGCAGCTAGTACCACTGCCAGATGGGGAAGCGCCGCAAATGTGTGTAATGCATGAGGTTGGGCCAGGATTTCAATGGTTAACAAAGGGGTGACCTATCACCTCCAAGCCGCTTGTCAAATGCCTGTGGAAAGGGATCCAACTTGGAATGCTTTTTTAGAGGCAATGACAGCCGCACATCTCAATGAGCCCTTAGTAGTTTCTGCTGTGCAAAAGTAAATACAATTACTGCAGACTCCCGTTTGGGATTGTGGCTTTTTTTTTTTTCTTTTTAATTTACACTTTTTATTCATGCTGAATAATGCAGCTTTTGCTATGCTTTTCTGCAAATAGGAGATCTACATCCATCCCAAACAAGATACTTCTTAGCCATTCACAGAATGCTTTGTATTCTTGAACCATTCATAGAGTACAAGATGTTCTGCAAATGGTCAAAGGGAGGGGGGCAGCAGGCCAGCAGCATAGCACTTTTTTTTTTTTTTTTTTTTTCTTCCACTACAGAAATGATTGTCTGCTTTAAAAATTGAGCAGTTAAAGTATATCTGCACCAAAGAATAAAGGTGTAACATATTATTATTATTATTTCAGGTACTTGTATAGCACCGTCAATTTACACAGCGCTTTACCTATATATATTACATTCACATCAGTCCCTAACCCTCAAGGGGTGTACAATCTAAGGTCCCTAACTCTCACATTCATACATACACATACTAGGGACAATTAAGACAGGAGACAATTAACCTACCAGCATGTCTTTGGAGTGTGGGAGTTAACCAGAGTACCCAGAGGAAACCCACGCAGGCACAGGGAGAACATGCAAACTCCAGGCAGGAATTCGAACCAACGACCCTAGTACTGCCAGGCGGAAGTGCTAACCAATTAGCCACTGTGCTGCCCATAAACATGTGTATTGCAGCTTCTCAGCCCATAGGCTTCATGCACAAGGGCATCAAAATACAGATGTTTGGAGCTAATTTCCAAACACATGTGGAAGCATGCAAAGCACTTCTATGGCTGGATTCTCTCTGGATATTCAGCAGCATCTGGGTGTGTTCAGTCTAGCTGCATTTACATTTTTCATGAAACATGTTTTCTTATAAACGGTTAATGTTAACAAGTTTTTTCCACCTTATATCTTTTATTTACTATGCACATTTTTGCAGTGATGCAAGTACCACAGTTCTGGGGTTTTGCTTTAACCACTTCAAGTCCGGACACTTTCATCCCCTTCCTGTCCAGGTCAATTTTCAGCTTTCAGCGCCCATCACATTTTGAATGACAATTGCGCGGTCATGCAACACTGTACCCATGGGACTTTTTTAGCATTTTTTTGAGACAGATAAAACTTTATTTTATTGGTATTTATTCACCACTGGGATTTTTATAATTTTGATTGATATATATATATGTGAAAAGTCCAAACATTTTGAAAAAAAGTGTTTTTCTTATAAAATTTTTCAAATAACTTTTTTTCATGAATCTTGGCCAAAATGTATTCATCTATCTTTTTATTAAAACAAAAAATAGCCCACATTAGTTTATAACCAACAATAGTTAAAAAAAATAATTTTTACATTTTATTCTATTTTTTTATATATATTTTTTTTTTTCAACCGTCACCCTAGCAGTACAGTGTCACTATAGTGACACTGTACTACTTGTGGGGGGTGACGAAGTTTTTCTTTTTTTTTTTTTTTTTTTTTTTTTTTTTTTTTACAGATTGCTTTTACACCCATAAAGTTTGTAAAAGCAATAATTTCTCCTTCTCTCTGGCTGCATTCTTGCAGCCATTGAGAAATACTATGAGAGCTGTGATTTGGTCATAGCTTGTCACATGGTACAAGGCTGTTGTGAATAGCCCTGTACCATGTGACCTCTGTGATCATTCACAGATTTCACAAGTAGTAAGCAATGATGTCAGGAAGTGACATCTTGTTTGCTACTATTCATGTGATCACTGATTAGCCAATCAGTGATCACATGAATCGGGACCTCACACAGAGGGTCCCGTACAGCGTTTGGTGTTGCACCGAATCGTGGTGCCACGTGTTCCCAGGGACCGTGCACAGGCAATGGATGCGGGAGGACATTTATAAACGGCCAGCCGCTCCTGCACTGCTCCCATCCAACCGTTTGTGTACATGGGCCGGACGGGAAGTGGTTAAAGAAGACTTTGCAGCACTGATTCAATGTATAGATATAAACACACTTGAAGCCTGATAATGAAAACCAAACGTTACATGATTCAGTGTACAGCTGAATACTAGCTACATCAACACTGGGATTTGATATGAGGAAGAAGCATTAAAGTTGTGTTTACATTTTTCCTGCATGTGAGTGGGCAGATGTCTATGCAGAGGTAATCAGGATGCTGTGTCGCTCATAAAATCAGTCTGGTGGGTTGTAGTTTTAAAGAGTCCTGTACAAGCTGGAAGCATAGGCTCTCAGCACCCTAAAGCTTGGCCATACCTGCATAGATTTCTGTAGAACAGATTTCTCAATCGTTACTAAACAGCGTGGATGGACATCAATCTCTATCCTGCCAGCTGAATTTGGGCTGTGTATGGCAGCCTTTAGTTGGATGATCTGTGAAAGCTCTTCCTAGGTGCCTATGCAAATAACATGGTTGCTGTTTACATAGCTGTGCCTCACCTCTTCATGTGGCTGTGAACTTGTTGAGACCTAAGGCACTATGTTGTGGGGATTGTCAGGTGTTATGTGCACTGCTGTTCACTAGCAGTAAGTGGCAACCGTACTAGAAATTTCTGGAGGCACTGACATACTAAAACTAATGCAGGCCATACATGGTTCGAAGTCCGAACGATTTTCGTACGAATATTGGACCTAAGAATGGGCAGCACAGTGGCTAAATGGTTAGCCCTTCCGCCTGGCAGTACGCTGGTCGTTGGTTCGAATCCCAGCCACGGCACCTCCTGCCTGGAGTTTGCATGTTCTCCCTGTGCCTGTGTGGGTTTCCTCCGGGTACTCCGGTTTCCTCCTACACTCCAAAGACATGCTGGTAGGTTAATTGGCTCCTGTCTAAATTGTCCCTAGTATGTGTATGTATGAATGTAAGTTAGGGACCTTAGATTGTACACCCCTTGAGGGTTAGGGACTGATGTGAATGTACAATATATATGTAAAGTGCTGCGTAAATTGACAGCACAATATAAGTACCTGAAATAATCAGCTGATTTTCGATGTTGATGGAGCGTTTGTATCTTTTACTCTGATCTGAATCAATGAAAGGACGCCGGCTCCCATAATCTGCATACCAGCGGGCTTATTCCTAGGATTCCTAGCAGTGCTGCAAGTCTCTTTAGATATTTAATGGTCTATTCACTTGTGCGACTTCAAAAATCCTGCGATTTTCATTGTGACATTACAGTGTGACTTTGACGCGACATTGGTTAAGTGCGGCTTTGGATTTAACCAAGGATAATTGTTTCTGCTGTACAAAGTCATATGCAAGTCGCATGCGGCTTTGGTGGGTTTACTTTGACGTTTGTGGCCCTCAAGTCGCATGAAAGGTGGACTAAAGTAGTGGGGAAACTACTTTGAAGTCACACAGTTATGAATAGTATCCATTGGGAAACATGAGGGGGTGACTTCTCATGCGACTTTGAACCCCAAGTCAGGCGTAGTCCCCAGCACACACTGTCCACTACCCCTTTAGCAAGCCGTGTGCTATGAGAGCACCTGTGTGCGTGTTCCGTATCCTGGCTTTTTTTTTTTTTTTTTTCTAACTACAGAAGTGAATCTGATTTGTTGTTCTCGGCATTTTTCATTGCAAGCACATTGATTAAAGGGCTGAGGTACTCCGGTTTGATGTGTAATTTGCAGGGCTGTGTATGTGTTGTATCACAATATTGGATCTGGCGATGGTGTTTTCACTGTTTTCAATGTTCATCCAGTTTTAGATGATTTTCTTGGTTTACCCTGAAAGTACAACATTGAGTGACCAGAAGCTGATCATTACTATGTGTTTTCTGCAAGAAAATATTAAGGGTGCTAAATTCACTAAATGTAAGCGCTTTTGTTTTCCGCACATGACCTTGTTTGTTAACTCCCACTCCGTTCTGTTTACCGCACAGTGCCAGATGAACTACTAAGCCAGCCTCAGCCTGTCAACGGGAACATTGGCATTTCCACCGTAACCAGCATTCAGAATAATAATGCCAAGCGGCCCACAGCACCCAGCCCACAGCAGCAGCAACAACCGGTGTCTCGATACCATCCCCGTGAAGTACCACCCCGATTCCGACACCAAGACCAGAAGTCTCTTGTGAAGCGTGGGCAGCAGATTCCTGGCATCGCAGCCAATCTGGGTTTAGCCACTAAAGTATTAAACCAAGAGTCCGAAAGCAGCACTGTCGTGTGTCAGGAGCGCACTGTGACCGAAACTCCGCCAGGTAAACATTGCCTGCGCTGTTGTTTTTCCCCCCCCCCCAATGCTAGCATGCTTAGAATGTCCACGTGAACCTGTTAGAAATGTCTTAAAGCTGAACTGCATTTTGTATGTTCTGAAACATGCATTATGTAAACAAGTAGAAAGGAAGTGACCTTTTAGTGTCTGACGTTTATGTATTTTCCATTCCATGTTGAAGGACAACACGCGTAGCTTAAATACATGGCTAAACATACACAGGAATGGTCTTGCTTGCCCAAAAGCCCTCTATAAGTAGTGTGCTAGTCTTTTGCTTTTCCCACCTTTAGTATGCTGTATCAGTATAAAATAAAGCAGGTACTGACAATATTCACAGCCTGACATTCTGCCGGCACTGAGCCACTGCCCTGCCCCTGCTTGCTTTTTTGACTACTAGTCACTGGTGATGGGTTTTTTGAACAGACCACCTCAGAGGCACTCCTACTTCAAGCCTGCTTTCAGCTGGTTTGTAACAGTACAGTATTAGGATATAGACTAGCTTCTGCAGCTGAACTGTAAAACTATTTTTAGATTGTAAAGTGCTAAGCAAACTGTTGGCACTAAATAAATCCTCAATAATAATAATAATAATAATAAGAGGATATATACGTGACCTAAAAGCCCACTTTGGATGGGTGCATCCATGTTAACATCCCTTCTTTTTGCGCCTATACTGCTTAGGGATCACTATACACATTACAATCTGACCATGCAACCTTTGTGCAATCAGCTTTAGATTTACCAGAATTATGTAATATGGGGACCTATGTAATCTACCCAGTCAATCTGTATACATTCAGACTGGCCCTTGCACTACATAGTTGTTGGTAGATCTAAAGAAGATTGTACAATCAGATTGTGGTGAGCTTTAAGTACCCTTGCTCCTGAAGTCCTTTCAATCTGATTTCTTAAAGTGGGCCTTCAGCTTACCCCGACCACATTTTTTTTTTTTTTCTGCTCCTGCTTACCTTGTGATTGTCTAAACAAAGTTCAGATACTCACCCAGCCACCAGATCCAGCGTTGTCCCGCTGACCTCTTTCTGTCAACAGACACCGCTGGGTCCTGTGCCACCAACTTGCTTTTGACGTCATTGCGATGCCCACCAACTCTTCTGAGTTCAGCTGGCGGGGCCACGTGATGACGTTCTGCTAGGTCTGCCCACTTCCAGCCTAGCAAATGAGTGACTAAGGCTACATTCACACTAGCGTTGTGTGCAGGCGGCAGAGAGGCGTTTGGGAAGCGTTTTTTACCGTTTCCCAAACGCCTCTGCCAATTCTACATGGTGCTGTTCTAACGGGAGCGTTTGCGCCGCGGCAAAACGGACGCCTCTGGTCGAGTCAGGAAGCTTTGAAGCCTCCTATTCACGTTTATGGTGCTGCTCCGCAAACGCCCGGCCGCGATGCGGTTGCGGGTCGTTTGCAAAGCGGTAACACCACTCAGACTGCATTATAGGCGTTTGTGGGGCGTTAACGCTCGGCAAACGCCTAGCAACCTCTGCTAAACCGCGCATGCGGCGTTGGCCGAGCGTTAAGAAACGCTCTGCAAACGCTGGACCAACGCTTGCCAAACGCTATAGGGGTGTTTGGCAAGCGTTGGTAAAACAGCCAAGTGTGAACGAGCCCTAAAGGCCTCCTGGGATATGTGATGTAAATATCCCAGGAGGCCCAACGAGCACTGTGCACGTCATTCGTCTAGGCGTATGACGTGCATTGAGGGGCGGGGCTGAGCTGTTTCTATGAAAAAAAAGGTAAATTAAAAAAAAAAAAAAAATTGGTTGGAGTAGGGTGAACATGCAAAAACGACTGAAGTTCCGCTTTAATCACAACTGCAGTATCCATTGTTGCTAGTCTGTCTGGTTATTGTGCAGCATAGAAAACATCACAGGAGCAATGAGACAGAACCATTCATTTGGGTTGGCCAGTTTTCCATCTGTAGTTTCAAAACACTATAAACACGATTTATCATACCCAAACCTATTCCTCCGGGTTTAAAAAGGAAACGGATTCTGTGCTTAGAACAACCACACAGATTCTCATTTTTAACTGGGACAGAGCTGCCATCCGGTTGCTGTGGGCAACACACTTTCTGTTTGGCCACTTTGGATACATGAGGCCTAACATCTTCAGCTTTTTTTTTTAAGAATAATAGAGTGTGAACAGCCAGAGTTGTCACTGGAATACCGAGCAGGGATCTGTCCTTTTATAGAGTTGTTTACTTCTTCTGAGCTGTGCTCCCAGCAGCTCTTTTATTTCTATAGTGTTGTATATGTTTCTATAATCCACGTCTTGCCCACATCTACACTACTGTCAAAGTGGTGGTGAAAAATATGGACTAGTCACACGAGGTGCAGTTTTTTCCACTGTCTGTTTGTGCAAATGAGTTAATCAAGATGCTACCTATTCACGCATTACAGCCTTAAACCATAAATTATTACCAAGTCTCTAAGGCCCTAGCGTGATTTCAGATGCGACTTCAGAATTGCATGAGTAGGGAAACATGGTTTTCAGTGGTGCCTGTTCACATCAGTGCGACTATGCACAGAACAATTTTGGAAAAGGGTCTAGTGCTACTTTTGGTGCAATTTTGGTCCCATGGAATATACAAACCTTATCAAAGTTGCATCCAAGTAGCACTACATAATCACATGAAAAGTCTGATCAAAATCACATTGCAGCAGTGTGAACCTAGCCTACATGTCAGTATCTGTACGCACTGCATGTTCAAAGCGCATCTTCACTTCAAAGTGGTTGTGAACCTTTACATATACCCAGTGAAGTGACTAACATAAGTTGCACCTGTTTATCTGCAGTCATCTCTTCTCTACAACAGTTCAATGTGCCGAATGCATACGGCTTGTCTGAGAATTCAGAAAAAAGGTAAAATGTACACTCTGCAGAGCTCAGTGAGGAGAGCTTTGAGAACTGATTGGAGGGAAGAGACACACCCCCTCTACACAGCTCACAGGAACAGAGCTGAGGCTGTCAATCAATCAGTTGTAGGTCCCTCCCCCATCACTATTTTTCTCTTGATGTCAGGAAAACTTGTCAGAAGTGATTCATGCTGATAGCAGAAGAACAAGGCAGCAGACAGAAATGACACTTGGTGCTTTGGATTGAGACAAGTACACACTATAGAGGGATATGCTTTTACAACCACTTTAAAGTGGAATGCCACCTAAAAAGGTAGGTTCCACTGCCCCCCCCCCCCCATCACCATACACCCACATTTGGAGGTTTCGTTTTTTTTTTTCTTGAAGTGGGTACCCATTTCTCACAGGTATCTGCTCCACTTTCACTTGGATCGCCTGTGCGAGCCAAGCAGAAGTTCGACCTCTCCTGCCCACAACAACATCCTGGGTCACATCACAGGTCGCAGAAAGCTTTAGGTCAATTGAGTTCAGTGTTGTTCACACATGTGCAGTGGGAATGTGGCTGTGGAGCACCAGGACGTCACAGCCAGCTTCCCACATCCATACTGGCCCAGGCGAAGAACTGGCCCAGGCGATGATAGTGCTGGACCAATGTACAGTATTTGTTAAAAATTTTCTCTAAACGTCAACAGATACAGTATGTATTGCCCTGTACACATTGACTCTATTTTGTAAATTTTCAGTGCAGCATGATACAAACGGACACATTAATTTCTCTTTGATTTTTCCTATGTTGTTTTAATGCAGTGAATGGTGCATTAAACCTGAGTGGGGCTAGAGTATTTAAAGCCTATCTTTGGCAAATAATAAACACTTCTTCTGCCCACCCCCCTCTAACCCATCCCGAACATTTTTTCACCTTGCCTTGTGATGCAAGATATACTCTCCTAAGTCCACTGCCCAGTCACTTCTCTGGTGGCCCTTCCATGTGTGGGGGACCACTAATCCAGTGCTGCGGAAGTGCCCATACCTGCTTGGGCCCCTTGTACTGATGTCATTCCTCTTCTGGATCCTAGGGGGGCCCCGCTTGGCAGCCAGTTGAAAGGGTCTACATCACACAGGCAGTGACATGGACACTTCCTGACTGAAGTGTCATATGATCGCATTTAGAATGTTATTCTTCCTAATGCCAGGACCCATGAAAGGGTTAAAGGAGAAGCATGGCAGGGGATGTTAAGAATTTGCTGGAGGTGGGTTTTGTGCCATGTCCAAAAAAGTGTCAAAGCAATAGCTTTAATTTTATAATACGATTTATTCAGCAATGCCATTCGATTGTACTCCAGTTGACTTTTCCTGACTTGGCATTAGAAATATTTAAAAGCTTCAGTTTTTAACTTTTGTAATTTCCTACCGAAGGTTGTAACTTTGCAATCCGTTTCCATTTTATTGCACTGAAAACCTCACATTTGTAAGGTAGAAAACACTCTGAAACAAATGGTCTTTGGCATGAGATTTCGAACAACTGGTCAACTCATTTTTGTGGACACACACAGTATCTTCTCAGATGCTGTTAATATGATCACATTGGCCCTAATGTGTAGAGCCTTGTGACCCGGATTTCCACTGCAGAAGGCAGTTCTGAAGCCCTTGGCTGCCACAGAGGAGCACTTTATTTATGTCGGTGCTCCTGTCTGGCAGCCAAGGGATGGAGCTGCCCTGCTGCAATCCTAAAATATTTTTTTAATCTGGTAATATTTTAAAAATTGATCATGCAGCACCTCAAAGCTAAATACCCTTTTCCCTGCGTACCCTAATAACATGAAGCTCTAACTTTTAAGCGCACAAATAGCATTTGTGTATATGTTTGCTAAGACTGTAGCATCAAATTTTACTTTTACTTTTTTTTTTTTTTATATTTAATAGTCAGAAAAAATTGTACCGCTTGCAACTAGCGGGTAAGATGCTAAGGCTGCTGGCGGCATGTTTGCTTCACTACTATTCTGTGATTATCCAGAAAAGCTCATGTAATTTGAACTCCTGCAGTTCATACCTATTCATAACCAATGCACTGCTCAATAAGTCAGGCCAGGTTACTCTCTCTCTCTGCTAAGCTCATGTGAACTATATGGATTTATAGTTTTACAGAGGATGTCAGCACTTGACATAAGACAGTGTAGTGCTTTGTTAAAAAGCCCAGTATGTCACTCCACCCAAATATAAACCAATAACTAAATGCACAAATGGAATACTTATAAGGTGGCCATTTACCTGACAAAAGATTTGTATTTCTGTTCATCTAGTTCTGAGATTTACAGCCTGTGTCGGATGGTTTTGTTTGCTTCAATTAGTTTTTGCATTCTTATACAAGTCTAAGGGAATGCAAAACCTGCAGGTCAGGAGGACGTCAAAAGCAGTTTTCAATTTACTTATTTATTACAGGTACTTATATAGCGCCATCAATTTATGCAGAGCTCTACACATATATTGTACATTCACATCAGCCTCTAACCCTCAAGGGGCGTACAATCTAAGGTCCCTAACTTACATTCATATACTAGAGCCAATTTAACCAGGATCCAGTTAACCAACCAGTATGTCTTTGGAGAAACCGGAGTACCTGGAGAAAACCCGTGCAGGCACAGGGAGAACATGCAAACTCCAGGCAGGTGGTGCCGTGGTTGGGATTCGAACCAATGACCCAAGTGCTGCCAGGCAGAAGTGCTAACCATTTAGACACTGTTATTAATTTTGAACGATCTCAGGACTGTTGCAAACTGATGCCATCGACACAATCCCAAAATCTGTTGATGCAAGCCCTTACACAGTAAAGGCAGCTAGATGACACCACTTGGTTAGATGTATAGAAGGGATACACTGGTGCCCTTTTCATCTCCCAGCTTGCTGATTGGATGGTAAAAGAGCAGCAGTAGAATGCTTAGGTCAGCTTTCTGCTTTTCTTTTTTTTTCTCTCCTATCAGCATGTTCCTGGACCCTTGTCATATAGAGGCTGATATAAAGTCAACTTCAGTTATATACGTTACTCTGTAAAACACTGCTGCTGTGTTTTTATAAACAGGGTTTAAAATGCAGACCCTAGTGTTGAGTAATGACTTCAGGGCCCTAAGTGACAGATTAAGCTTTTCTTTTTGCATGGCTGCTGTTAAGTCAACTTATGTCCTGGCTTCCTTTTTTACTACCTTTCAGCCTTCAGTTTTGGGAAATCCTCACTAAAATTCCCAGTTCTATCCATCTGTCACAGCTGTAAGAAAGCCAACTGATGGTGCCATGATGGGTTCTGTGCAAGAATACACAGGACACTAGATGTACTGTAAGTAAGCAATACCTCCATATATAGTCTGGAGGCACGCGCTGCTGACGGGAAATCTCCCATTTTGGAGTCTAAAAAAGCAAGATGAAGGTGTTTTTGTTTTTTTTTTTTTTTTCTTTTTTTCTTTTTTTTTTTTCTTCAAATGACTGAACTGTTGGTTTGTATATGCTTTAAGACATTTCTGGTTAGTTTGCTTTTCATCCAATGTTGATCTTTATATATTTAGAAGGGTGCCAAGCTAATAAAAAAGTTGGTTATGGGGGTGCTATGATTTTTTGTTTTAATTTGGTTAGTACAGAAAGATGGGACAAAGAAGTACCATAACAAGGTAAAACAAGTGATGTTAGATTTGAGCACTGCAAACACTTTTCCCATCATTCTTGGTGAGTAATTTTCTAGTCTTTGGCCACCCTAAAAACTGCACTATAGTAATATAAAACTACCAGGAAGGTATGTAATTAAGGCACTTTCAAAGCCGTTCTGTTTGTCATCCAGCGTAAGTTTTTGTTATAGTTCCTTTTTAACTTGAGGGTGTATATCTGGGCAAAATAAACATTCAGTACATCTCTGCATTGCATGCACATTTTCCTATGCTTTATCACTTTAAAAAGATTGTAGGTACAAGAAAAATACCTGTTGATCTGCCAGAAGTCCACTGAGCTAAAAACTCAGTTCTGCTGCTGCGGTGAAATCCCAAACAGTGTTGTTAGCTCTGCTCCACCCACCCTATGTACCGTCATGGCCAAAAGTATTGGCACCCTTTTCTGTCAGATAATGCACCTCTTCGCCCAGAAAATTGTTGCAATTACAAATGTTTTATTTATTTTGTTTTGTATTGGTATGACACAAAGTGGAGAAACAAAAAGCAAAATCTAACACATTCCACACAAAACCGCAAAAATGGTCTGGACAAAATCATTGGCACCTTCTCAAAATTGTAAAAAATAATTGCATTCCAAGTTTTTGATGATCCTGTATTTTGTATTTAAACTCTCCTATATCAATTATCAGGTGCTGACAATATAGAAATCACACCGACAACCAGTTAAAATGGGTGAAAAATTGACTCAACCTTTCTGCCATGTGTCTCTGTGTGCCACATAGAGAAAGGGCAGCAAATAATTGTGTGAGGTTTTAAAAACAAAAATTGTGGAAAAGCATGGACAATCTCAAAGTTACAAGTCCATTTCCAGAGATCTTAATGTTCCGGTGTCTACTGTTCGCAATGTTGTCAAGAAGTTTAGAGCCCATGGCACGGTAGCTAATCTTCCTGGACATGGAGAAAAGAAAAAAAAAAAAATTCATCAAAGATTGCAACAAAGGATTGTTTGAATTGTGGATAAAGAACCTCGATCAACTTCCAGACAAAGTCAAGCTGACCTTCAGGCACAGGGTACAGCTATGTCAGCTTGCACTATACGTCACCATCTGAATGAAAAGGGACTCTATGGTAGGAGACCCTGGAGGACCCCACTGCTGACACTGCCATAATCCTTTTAGGAGAATTTGCTTTGGACAGACAAAACAAAATTACAGCTGTTTGTTAAAGCCCATCATTCTACTGTTTTCAGAAATAGCAATGAGGCCTTTGTAGAAAAGAATACAGTCCCTGCAGTCAAATATAGTGGAAGTTCACTGATATTTGGGGGTTGCTTTGCTACTTCAGGCATTGGATGTCTTGACCGTGTGCATGGCATTATGAAATCTGAGGAGTACCAAAGAATTCTGGGGTGCAATGTAGGGCCCAGTGTCAGAAAGTTGGGTCTCCGTCATAGGTCCTACAACAGGACAATGACCCAAAGGACACATCATCCCCCAGAAATGGTTTCAGACAAAGCGCGGGAGAGTACTGAACTGGCCAGTGATGAGTCCAGATCTCAATCCCGTGGAGCACCTGTGGAGAGATCTCAAAACATCAGTTGGGAGAAGGAACCCTTCCAATCTGAGAGACCTGGAGCCATTGGCATAAGAAGAGTGCTCCAAAAATCCAGTAGAGGTGAAAAAACTCATTGATGGTTACAGGAAGCCATTGATTTCAGTTATTTTTTCCAAGGAGTGTGCTGCCAAATATTAAATTGATGGTGCCAGTAATTTTGTCCACTCCATTTTTGGACCTGAAAATGCCTAAAATTTGAAAATTTAAAAAAAAAAAGAAAATTTAGGCACCTGAAAATGCCTAAAATTTGTAATTGCAACAATTTTCTGAGCAAAGTGGTGCATTATCTGACAGAAATATCAATATTGTTGTCCATGACTGTATGTTGTCCATTCTGCCCAACTCACCCTGTCAGTTCAAACAGGAGGTTAGTTGCTCTCTGGATTTCTGGAAGATCAGGAGGTATAGCTGTATTTGCAGTGTATAGACAAAAAATGGGGGGAAATGTGCATGTATTGCAGAAATGGACAATTCTTTGTCTTTTCCACCACAACTGCACAAAAACACAGATGTAATTTGCAGCTTTAGGATGCTTTCACACTTGAGAATACATCCGCTCAGTGTTTAGCTTCGAGAACCCCAGTGGGGTTTCCCATGATTATCTGCAGGTAGGCAGCCCCATTGAAAACAATGAATGGCTGCTGCCTCTTGCAGCTAAATGTGCCCACTCGCAGTTTGCGTCTAGGGCCGATAGCTTGCATATGATCACTGCATGAGCAGATACATGTGAGTGGGTACTTTTTAGCTGCGAGATCCAGCAGCCTCCCATTGCTTTCAGTGGGCTGCCTATTCTCCGTTAATTGTGGGAACCCCTGCCGGGGGTCTTGAAGCGAATTGCCAGGCAGACACATTTGCAAGTGTGAATGCACCCTTAATGGTACTGAATACAACACATGGCTTTCTGGATTAAGTTTTATATGTTTTTGTAGATTTTCATAATACCCTTCAAACAATTGCATCCTTTCATTTCCACTGCCAATATTTTGTTTAATTGTTTATTTTAGACCAGACACTTCTGCTGTGATCGCTGTAGCCATAGAATCTGTAAATTAATATGCGTGAATAGCAGGAGAGCCATGTAAAAGAGCAGGATAAAATGGATCTATAAACAATAATGTTTTAATTTTTTTTTATTTTTTTTTTTTATTTTTTATTTTTTTGCTTTTCCATAGGCATGCCTCCCATTCGGGATTTGGTCAGCCACTCCCCTAATCAGCTAGGTGAATTTAATTTTATTTTTTATCCAAGCATTTCTAGCTTGCACATTTATGACATTTTAAATTCACTTATTTTGTGAATGTATTGCTGCTTGAGTGCTTGCAGTGGATGTGCTGGAGCTGTACATTTTTTGTTTGCGTATGCTTGTGCTGCAGCCGCCTTCTTGCTACCTGTGGCTTGTAAACTGCTGCCAACTTGCATGTTATCCTGGTTATGCTGTAAGCATTGGTTCACTGTTCTTCCCCACTGGGGCTCTGATTTTTTTTTTTTTTTTTTTTTTAAGAGGTCTTCCACACAGGTTTGCCTTTGTCTTGTGTCCAGTGTAGCCCTGTCCTTTCTGTGGATCAGGTTGTTCTGAGATAGACTGGTTGCTAAATGTTGTCTATAAAACAAGCAGCTTCAGTCCACATCTGGACCCCAGCCAGGTACATTATCTGAGTTGGGGAAAACCTGCTGAATCATCACACTTAAACCAGGCTTGTAATTGGACAACATTCACACTGCTGTATTTCAAAGCGGCAGTTTAAAAAACACTTTTTTTGGTACAGAATTTGGTAAAACTCATAGAACGATGAATGCTAATGCTGTAAACTGCATCTTCTATCACTATGAAGCCTTAAAGTGGTAGTATATTTTGAAACAAAAAAAAAGTTTCTCCTGCAAGGTAAAGGCATTACTAAATAAATAAATTACTACGAAAGACTTTATGAAAGGCTTGCCTTGAAACAAAGCCCTCCAGCAGAGCACTGTCACCACTGCAGAGGCTTCTATCTTCACCTTCTGGGTTCGTGGGCTATGGCCGCTTGAATGGCTGAGATGCGATGCGTAGGAGTCACAGCCACAGCACAGGGCTCTGAAGGAACAGCATGGGCATGCCGTTCCTTAAGAGTGAATTTTCACTTGTTTGGCAGTCTGTGATGTCACCGGTGCGGTGACATCACAGACTGCCAAACAAGTGAGTGTCCTAAAACTGTGCACGTTTTAAGCAATATTTAAACTACAATCACAATACAGAGTTTACGACTGCTTTTAAAGAGACCTTGAGCCAGGCCATTCATTTTAGCAAAAGTCTTCCCATAGGATTATATGTGCATTTAATATATTTTATTTACCTGTAAAAGCCTCTCTTTTGTAGATATCCAACAGCCCTGAGACTGCTACTGGGCTGCCATCTTGGATGTTATGTCAGTAACTCCAGCAGACACAGCTTTTCCTCAAGTTATATTCTGTAATATTCCCCTTCCCTCTTCCGCCAGCAGCTACATAACAGGTGTTAGACCGTGAGGGGAAGGATGGAGGAGCTGGGCCAGTACAGCCAGTTATTAGAAGAGGAGAGGGCTGTATTAGAAAACAGACTTTTCCTAAAGTAGTCAAATGTCTTAGCAAGTTCAGGGGCACATTTCAGGTAAATAAAAAAAACATGTATGGAATGATAATGCATTTAAAGCACTTGGTTTTCTTAGATTTTTTTGCATGTTGCTGACAGTGACTCTTCACAAAAATTAACACATTTCCAAGTCGCATTATTATAAGCATTGAGATACGACCAAGGCAGCCTGATGGTATAATTGGAGAGGAGCATGCAGGGAGTTGTAATGCTAGAGGGTCATCTGGTAAGAGATGGGCACTGACCCTGCAGATGAGGAAGATGTCATCCTGGAAATAATGAAGACTATGCAAGGTGTTTTTACTTTGCTTTTTTGTGTATTTTTATCTCAGAGTTGATATTTAGAAATGTGTGGAACACTTCTTTCATTTAGTCGCACTTGACTGTGTTTGCAAGCCATTATTTGTGAGTTGTCTTAATGGTGTCTATGACAAATTTTGTGCAAAAGTATGTTGTTTTTTTTTTACAAAACACTGAAAAATAGCTGCAAAAAACAAACATTTTCGGTAATGCCTTGAACATAACGCTTACACTGAAGCACTTTATAGTCCTAATGAGTTGAACGGTCCAAATGTGCAAAAAACATTTATTGCAGAGCCATACAAAGCAGTGTGCAGAAGCTGACAGGGGAGAGATCTGAGCTGACAAGGGAGAGATCTGAGCTGACAGGGGAGAGATCTGAGCTGACAGGGGAGAGATCTGAGCTGACAGGGGAGAGATCTGAGCTGACAGGGGAGAGATCTGTGCTGTTTATACACAGGTCTCTCCCCTGTCAGTAATACTCAAGAGATCGCCGGGTGCCGGCAGGGAATCACCGACTGGGACCCGGTGATTGACAGCCTAGACTGCGAATGGCGGCGCGAGTAGGGCGCTCGCGCTCCCCCTATCTGGAGCTGCAAAATCACGTATATATACGTGATTTTGCACACCCTTGTCACCCTGTAGCAGTATTTCTACTATAGGGTGCTGCAGAAGCAGTTAATGCATTATCTGCAACCTTTTCCTTTACAACTACTTTAAAGGGGTATTAAAGCCAAAACTAAAAATGTATTATATTGCAGCCTACCAATCAGATGTAGTAGCTGCATTGGTTTTCTCTGGCTTTTTCCCCCTGTTTTCACCTGATGATATGGCCGGTAACGCACTTCCTTTATTAGTGCAACCCAACTCTGTATGAATGAACACAGTAGGCACAGCAGACAGTAGGATTGTCAGTCTGGGGGGAATGGGAGTGCTAAATGGATGAGCAGGTTTGAATACAATGGTTTGTAATCAGTGGGCAAATGGATTGTCTCATCCATGTAAAGTAATACATTCTGCTGGAGAGCTTGAGTTTCTGAAAAACAGACATGCTGGCTGGATCACCAGATGAAAATAGAAGAAAGCCTAAAAAGGAAATTAATGCAGCCATGACATCTAATTGGTAAGCTGCAGTATGATAAATGTTTTCTTTTGAGTTTAACACTGTTAGGTATGTATAATAAGAACCTGCTAATTCGTAAAAATACAATATCATTGTTTCCCAAATACATTGGTGTGAGGTTTTTAGTTCATTCACAAAAAGCAGCTTCCACTGACGGTATCATTGCAGTGAATGTATCACATCTGCTCACTATGTGGTGCTGCTATGAAAGCCGCAATTCCCATCATGCAGCTGGAATTGTTGTGAATGGACAATAATATTAGCAAGATTTGGGACAGGTATCTTGTGAATGTAAACATGCGTGGATAGTCTGCCCAGACCAGGAGACTCCTGGTCTGTGCAAAGTGGGAGGTCATGGGAGGTGGGACAGGTCAAGAGTCTCCTGACCTGTCAATCAAACAATGCAAGTGGGTGGTTCATACTGGATGTGTCAGGTGAGAAAGTACCTTTATAAACCTGCAATGAAAATGTAGCATTAAATAAATAAAAAAAAAAATCTCTGTGGCATCTCTGTTGGCTGTAAACTTGTGACAGATTAACCCCTACAGAGCTCAGCTGTTCTAAACAATGCTTAAATCACATCACATGCAAGGAAACAGACTTGGCCTGTTATCCCTGTTGGCACCCTGATACATTGTGTTATACTGCATTTTAACAGCCCTGGTGGATTGACATTGTAAGCGTCTGCCATGGTTTATTGAAGATGACTACGCTGATTCATTCTTACAGCCCAGTAACAGTACAACACTCTGCAGCAATCTAGCCTGGAGGAATAAATGGTACAGGATGAAAGATTCATCAGAAAGCCGACAGTCCCTGCCATTAGCCTGGCAGTGGATGATGAAGTGGCGGATACTGAATCTGAGCCAGGATTATCAGAACTAATTTGCAAAGCCTTAGGACTTATGCCCAAGAGCATATTTTTTGCCCAGAACCTTGCTGGCAGTAAGAGTCTTCATAAAAATTTTCTCCATATGCTGTACACATGTACCCTTTGTGCTAATGTTTATATGCATTCAGCATGTACAGTGGATATAAAAAGTCTACACATCCCTGTTAAAATGTCAGGTTTCTGTGATGTAAACAAAATGAGACCAAAAGAAATCATATCAGAACTTTTTTTCACCTTTTAATGTGACCTATAAGCTATACAACGCAATTGAAAAACAAACTGAAATCTTTTAGGGAGGGGGGGGGGGGGGAAGTAAACATAAAAAGCTAAAATGTGGTTGCATAAGTGTGCACACCCTCTTATAACTGAGAATGTAGCTGCGTTCAGAATTAAGCAATCACATTCAAAATCATGTTAAATAACAGTCGGTACACACCGGCCATCATTTAAAGTGCCTCTGATTAACCCCAAATAAAGTTCCGCTGTTCTAGTAATTCTTTCCTGACATTTAGTCGCATCCTACAGCAAAAGCCGTGGTCCGAAGAGATCTTCCAAAGCATCAGAGGAATCTCATTGTTAAAAGGTATCAGTCAGGAGAAGGGTACAAAAGAATTTACAAAACATTAGATATACCATGGAATACAGTGAAGACAGTCATCAAGTGGAGAAAATATGGCGCAACAGTGAGATTACCATGAACTGGACATCCCTCCAAAATTGATGAAAAGTTGAGAAGAAAACTGGTCTGGGAGGCTGCCAAGAGGCCTACAGCCACATTAAAGGAGCTGTGGCAAGTACTGGCTGTGTGGTACATGTGACAACAATCTCCTGTATTCTTCAGATGTCTGGGCTATGAGGTAGAGTTGCAAGATGGAAGCCTTTTCTTATGAAGAAAAACATCCAAGCCCGGCTAAATTTTGCAAAAACACATCTGAAGTCTCCTAAAAGCAAAAACAACACAGCACATCCCCAAAGAACACCACAGTGAAGTATGGTGGCGGCAACATGCTTTGGGGCTGTTTTTCCTTCAGCTGGAACTGGATCCTTAGTCAAGGTAGAGGGAATTCTGAACAGTTCCAAATACCAGTCAATTTTGGTACAAAACCTTCAGGCTTCTGCTAGAAAGCTGAACATGAAGAAGAACTTCATCTTTCAGCATGACAACGACCCAAAGCATACATCCAAATCAACAAAGGAATGGCTTCACAGAAGAAGATTAAAGTTTTGGAATGGCCCAACCAGATCTCAGACCTGAATCTGATCGTAAATCTGTGCGATGAACTGAAGAGGGCTATGCACA